TCCGTTAAGCAATGTATCAACACTCCCTTAATCCAACTGACATTCGCAATTTCTTTTACTAGAAACTTTGAAAATCAGAAAGAAAATGAACCAGCCAGCAATTGAAAAAACTGAATGAGTCAGTGAGCAAGTTAATGAGTGTTTCAAAAGAGTACGTAAATCAAAATATGACTTATTGGATGAATGAATAAATGAATTATAGAATGAAAAGGTGAGTGAGTGAACTGATGGATAGTAGAGCGCTTGAATAATTGCGAGAGTCCATATTTGAGTGCCAGTCTCAGATAAATAGACATCCCCCTCCTCGTCGCTGGTGTGTGGCCAACTCTCCTTGATACAGTCCAATATTCACCGCTAACATAACTAATCCTTTCATTAAATCAAGCCTCCCACTAACCCATAAAGAGCTAATTGTGTGGTGAGTCAGCTCACACACACTCTCGCACAAGCACTCGCACATATTCAGAGATTCCTACGTGTCTTTACACTCTTTTCATACCTTGTATCTTTTAACACCACAGCCTTCCCACTCGCTAACACAGTGTTCCTGTGTGTGCCCTTGATCATAGATGCACATGTGTTTGTGACCGGGTGCATATGTATTTTTTTTGCATGTGTGTACGTCTATGAATGCAGTGCCTCTAGAGTGTGTTTGCTCAGACTTACAGTGCGGCTGTTCTTCCCCCTGTGTGACTTGTCAGGCGTTTTCCCATTAGACTGCTTTTAACACACATCTCCGATTTTCACACATCAGTGACAGCACTGTTCTCTGGCTATGGGGGCATCCCAGAATGCTTTGCTTGGCTTCATAGGTCCCGAATTTATACCTTTCGGTCACTTTAAAACAAACACAGGGTGTTTGTAAACTAGATAGACTCACTTGAACCCTGTGCCCTCACCTCATCATAATGCAATATCTAAAAAATCTCTTTGTCTGCTTAATGGCATGATAGGGCAGCATGGTGGCGGAGTGGGTAGAGCAATTGCCTCACATCAAGCAGGTTGCTGGTTCGAGCCCTGGCAGTTGGTGTTTCTGCGTGAAGTTTGCATGTTCTCCCCATGTTCACATGAGTTTGCTCTGGTTGCTCCGGCCAATCCGGTGATTTTATGCCCAAAATTTAATGAAAACTTAAAAAATGTATTAAATAATTTTTTTTTTGGATCTTACATGATATACTATTTATTCATAAAGTTTGCATTTTATTTGTTCATCTGTCAGGTGTTGGTGATTATTGGCTTTAACGTATTCAGCCTTTCAGTATAGGCCTACAGCAAAGTAGAAATAGCTTGGCCTCATAAAACAATCCCCCAAACAGCTGTCAAAATTGACCAAAAACAATACATTTTATATATATATATATTCATCACAATGGAAAATATTTTTGTTTTTAGAATATGTATTAGTGATGCATGCAATGATTACAGAATAACCAAAAAGAAAATGCAAAGAATGGCAATCACTGATTTTTTAAATCACCTTCAACAATTGCAAAAAGAGACTGAAAGAGCAGAAGCTCAGCTTCATCTGGTAGAGGAACAACTGACTCTGACCAAACTGCAGCAAACCAAGGCCAGACTTGAGATTCACCTCCTAAAGGCTTTGCTCAGCAAGCTGGTCTCTCCACATCAGATGAGGAAGTCTGAACTTATTGTGGAGTTTTTGACATTAAGTCTTTTTTATTTACATCTATATTTGAAACTTATTATAAATATCCTCAATGTACAGTGTTTGTGTTGTAGGTCTCAGATGAGCGGACTGCTGGAAGAGGATGGGGTGGGGTTTTTATTGTTTTTAGTTTTTTTTTTTTTTTTTTTAAATGTGCGTGTGTTTTCATCTCAAATAAAAATTAAGTTATATTGACCCCAAACTGGCTATTCTACTTGTTGCTCTTTACATAGGCCTATCTATCCATCTACATTGTGATTGAGCACTGGTAATCCAGATTTAGTGATCCTGAAAAGTTCCTATCCGGATCAGATTGATCCAATCCAATGTTGCTTTGATAAAACTGGCTCAAAAAGTAAGCTGGATTACGTGATCACGGATAGCAAAAACAGGATTACTAAATCCGGATCAATTTTATCCAGATTAAACCTTTTGAAAAACCGGGCCCAGGTGATGTGTAAGAATCCTGCCCATCAACTTACAGTCTACACCAGAGATCACCACACTTGTTCCTGGAGGGCCGGTGTCCTGTATATTTTAGCTCCAACCCTAATTAAATACACCTGACCAAGCTAATCAAGGTCTTACTAGGTATTGAAACACCCAAGCAGGTGTGTTGAGGCAAGTTGGAGCTAAACCTTGCAGGGACACCGGCCCTCCAGGAACGAGACTGGTGACCCCAGGGCCCGTTTTTCAAAAGTAATCCACTAGGATTTTGGATAAGGGATTGGATCAAATCTTGAAAATGGGTTTTTCAAAAGAAAAAAACAGATTACATAATCGGATTAGATCACCTAATCCAATCTTGGTTTTGATCCGGATCAAACCTTTAGTTTGGGTTTTTCAGACATTTTTTTATAGGATCTGGATCACTTTGATCCAAAAAACCTGGATTAAACTGATCCCATCAGAAGGGTGGATTTAGCGTGGATTTTATGCCCAAACTGTAATGAAAACTTAAAAAATGTATTAAATAAAACTATTTTTGGATCATACAGTATCTTACGAGATATCCTATTTATTCATAAGGTTTTCATTTTATTAGTTCATCCGTCAGGCTATAGTGAATATAGGCTTTAACGTATTCAGTCTTTCAGTATAGGCCTACAGCAAAGTAGAAAGAGTTTGGCCTCATAAAATAATCCCCCAAACAGCTGTCAAAACAGACCAAAAACAACCAATTTTTATTGTGGAGTTTTTGACATTAAGTCTTTTTTATTTACATCTATATTTGAAACTTATTATAAATATCCTCAATGTACAGTGTTGTAGGTCTCAGATTAGCGGACTGCTTAAAAAGGATGGGGTGTTGTTTTTCTTGTTTTTATTATTATTTATTTTTATTAATATTTTAATAATTATTAAATTTTCTTAGTTTTCATTTCAAATAAAAATAAAGTTATGTTGACCCCATGCTATTCTACTCTTTACATATCTATAGTTCTACATTGTGATGTCCTATCCTGTTTGAGCACTGGTTATCCAGATTTAGTGATCCTGAAAAGTTCCTATCCAGATCAGATTGATCCAATCCGATGTTGCTTTGAAAAACTGGCACAAAAAGTAAGCTGGATTACGTGATCACGGATTGCAAAAACTTGATTACTAAATCCGGGTCAATTTTATCCGGATTAAACCTTTTGAAAAACCGGGCCCTGGTGTACACTATAAACTGATCCACAAGGCTTATGCAACTCCGTATGTGCTTCACCAAATGGAGTGATTTCCTACCCCTTTTTATACATTGTGTAATTCAAACTCTGTGGGGACATTTAAGCATATGTTTTTTGAATGTCCACCTTATCATTTTCAGATAAGGTCTTTCAAACTATCTCAGAATTGTGTGATATGTTTATTCCTAAATACCCTATTATCTGTTTATCGAGTATTTATGATCAAACTTAAACACTTTCCAAAGTAGGATCCCACATAGCAAAATTTCTCTGGCCCAGCTCTGGCCCACACAATCAGGTTTTGCTTGGCCCACATGCCGCAGTGAATTACGGTACATGACTGGACCAAATCTGGCTTCCAGACAAGGGCCAAACACGGACCATATCTGGGCCAAGTCTCAGCCAAGTTAATAACTCATAACTGGGCCTGAACTGGGCCAGATAGGTTGGTGTGTCACGATTGCAATGAAATTGATAAATCCATGGAGTGATGCGCTTTAGGCACACTATGGGCACGCTTTTTCTCAAAGTGACCTGATTGGTAGAATTTTTTTTCTTTACTCAAAAATGATTTTAGTGTATTTTTAATGTGGGTCAAGACTAGCCAAACTCGCATGGCCCACTTATCAAATTTTTAAATCTGGGCCAAATACTACGTTTTTCATCTGGCCCAAATCTTGTGTGCCGCCTTAAAGACGGTGCCAACTCTGCCAAACCCGGGCCATGTTTGGCCCACATGCTGTATGCCAGTGCTGGATGAATGCCTGCTGTTCCAGCTTTGTGCCAATTCTGGGCCAGAATTCTTTGCTACTAGTGATATTTCATACTGCACTAACTGCAGCCAAGAATGTTAGATTTAAAATAAGGCATGAACCCGCATTTCCAGCGGACTAAATGTGGCTCATTGAACTAAGAAATATTGCACTGTTGGAACATTCTACAGCAAGAATTAACAGAGCTAAAGTCCAAACAATCAAAGCATGGTCTGATTTAATTTAGAAAATGTCCTATATTATAACTATATAAACTAAAGCATGCTGAAAGATAAATAATATTATATTGGAAGTGGATAAAGCTCACTTCTCACCCCTGAGCTTTTGTTTTCTTGTGTATAGTTATTTCTTTTCCATTTAATGCAAACCCTGGCTTGTATATAGTTGTTCCTAGCTATGTATGCTGGCTTTGTTCTGCAATAAATAAATAATCACAAAAAAAGAATTGATGTGCTGATTATCATATAAGGGGTGACACAGTGGCGCAGTGGATAGCGCTGTCGCCTCACAGCAAGAAGGTCACTGGTTCAAGTCGTAGCTGGGTCAGTTGGCATTTCTGTGTGAAGTTTGCCTGTTCTTCCCGTGTTCGCATGGGTTTCCTCCACGTGCTTCGGTTTCCCCCATAGGTCAAAGACATGCACTATAGGTGATTTGTGAAGACTAAATTGTCCATAGTGTATGTGTGTGAATGGGTGTGTATGGGTGTTCCCCAGTGATGGTTTGCAGCTGGAAGGGCATGCGCTGCATTCCGCTGTGGCGACCTTAGATAAATAAAGAAAAGAAAATAAAATAAATGAATTATCATATAGGAGACCTTTTTTCCACCTACGACTCTGATCCTACAGAATGTAATCAATTTATTTCTCTTTTCTCCACTTTTTTCTAAAGATATCTGTCTGGATCCGAAGCAACAAATGATGAAACATGAAGAGAACTTATAGAGACCACCTAAAAAGCTCTTTTGGAAACAACTCCTTGGTCTTTTCAATAACATTGGACCGTTACACAAAGTTAAAAGGAACGAATGACAAATGAACAGCCTCCAAACTCCCCTTTATGGACCGCTGCCATGGACGTCTAATGGCTAAACCTTCCATGAATGGTTTTCTCTTTTGAGTCACTGGGAGCTCTGTAAAATGGAGGATCCATTCCAGACATTTTCTCAAGGGTCTGTCACGCTACCTCTGAGAAGAATGAGCAATTTTCACCAGATGGAGATACGCGCATGTTGCTACTGAACTGGCCCAATGGTTCATTTGTCTGGACGGAGAGCTAGAAGAGGAGGAAGTGGCCGTAACTTGACCCATGACAAAGTATGTGGATGAAGAGCCAGGCTGGAGTTTAAAGAGCCGGGGAAATGCGAATCGACAGTAAAGTTTCGAACAAAACTCGCTTTGTGGTGTGCACCTGGGAAATATGAGACTTTAGTCGACAGACACAACACAAACAGTTCATCTTCTTTTTAATCAAAGACGTACACTGGTGACTTCAGCCGTGGGTGGCCTGATATTTGACCTTGTTTTGATGGTACAAAGAGATGCCTCTACTTTACTGAACTGCGTCTTCCTACCTGTCTTGTTGTTGAGGTTGCCAGTTGTGATGCTGCGCAGGGGTCTGCTGGCCTGGCTCTCGCGTCTGGGTGTTTTGTTAGTGGTGGTTTGCTGTTGTCTTTCCCTCCTTTATGTCATCACTTGCAGCCCCCATGCTGATGATCCCATGGCCGGGCAACCCCTGCCCAGGGCTGGAGGTATGGCTTTGGCAGGAGGTCCAAGCAGGCCAGGTGGGGTGGGAGGTGCCCCTGTTGGCCCTGCAGGACGGGAAGGGTTCCAGGCTCTGCTACAAGAGCGAGAAGAGCAGCATAGGCAGCATATTGCCAGCTTGAAGAAACAAATAGCTCAGCTCAAAGAAGCTCTCCAGGAAAGGAGCGAACAGCTTAAGGGCATGCAGGACTCTTTGGAGAAGTCGACTGGGAAGGGCATGGGGGGAGACGTGGCTGAAGACCGCAGTCATAGTGACCTGCAACAGTTTCTACGCAGCCAGCTGAGCCGGGCAGAGGTGCACACTGGTGTGCGACTTCCCAGTGAGTACGCAGTGGTGCCTTTTGAGAGCTTCACCTTACAGCGCGTCTACCAGCTGGAAATGGGGCTGACTCGTCATCCCGAGGAGAAGCCGGTGAGGAAGGACCGCAGGGACGAGCTGGGAGAGGTGGTGGAGAGCGCACTGCATGCCCTCAATGCACCAAACCATGGTAGAGAAAAAACAAAAGCCAGTAAAGTCTACACGCCATCAGACTTTATAGAAGGTAAGAGTAACGGTTGTGCAGTTAACATGTGGGTGATTCTAGGATTGAGGGTACATTTTACATCTCATAGATATACTTATAATTTTTTCAACAAGTATATCCATTTATCTCTAAAATAACGTTTGTGTATTTAAGGATATTTTGCTTTAAAAATACTAACTTAAAAACTAGCACTATAAACTTCCACCTGAATCATACGTTCAGCTTCAGTTATCAAGAAATAATCATTTGAAGTTATTTAATGTTTACTCAACTAAGTTAAATAAAGGTTTGCATGAAGCATCGGTTTTCTGTATTATTCGATACATTAATTTCAGTTTGTGTTGTTCGGGTCAACTCTGTTACATCTGTTATAAAAAGTCATAACAATCCCTAAAGCACTGATATTTAGCATGTGAATTCCTCCAAGGGATGTCACTTCTTATGGCTGGAAACTCTGGAAGACATTGTGGAATGTCATTCATTTGGACAAAATGTTTAGGATACCCCGATAGTAGATTAATTGAATGTCGACTCTGTTACTGAGATATTTGAGTGGATTCTCATTCTTTTTGAAAAAGTAAAATAAAAACAAATTTCTGTTTAGGACATGCCATGTGGCAACTGGTTTGAGGTTAGCATCTTGAGCTAAAGCACAAAATAGTGTTTGTGGTTTAAAAAATGAATAATAAGTTAAACAACAATTAGTAACATAATCAAATGTTTCCTATCAAGAATTTTGCATTACTTTACATTAATAATCGATTCAGTTTACTGTAAATCTGTACTGTAAGTAAACCCCTTACAAATCTATCTTTTACATTCATATTTTTAATAGGAAGCTATACAATATTACATTCGTGCATATACCACAGGAAAACTTGCCAAGTCTCTGGACCATTGACAAATCCTAGACTTTAGTTTAACACTAGTCTGACATATTTCCAGAAAGTCTCTCAAAAGGATCTCTGAAGCAAGAGTTGCATGTTATGTTGTGATTCTTGTACCCTCAGAGCCAAATCAATACAAAGCAAAACAACAGAGCATCCTGTAGCAGCATGCTAACACGCTAAAGCCAGGATATCCTGAGATGACACCAGGAAATGAGCACAGCTGTATCGTGTTCAGAGCATTGTCATCGATGCCATTTCCTCCAGAGAGAAAGCAACACATCTCACTCACTGTTTGTTTTTATAGACTTTACAGGACATAAATAATTCATGTTGCTATGCGTCTTGTTTAGCACTTGAAATTGAGATGTTAGAAATGAGCTATGATGAAATGCGCATGTTCAAACTTTCAAGATAAATGCAATTACACTGATAGCTGTGCAGGAAACATGAGATGATACATGAACTAAACTATTCCTGCTTAAAAGGCCAGCTTAGCTTTTTTCAGTTGTTTGGTGTATCTTTAAATAGAAGTTCATTCCTTGTCAATTGGAATCTTCTCTGAGCTCTTTATCAGCTGTATAATTGAATAGGCCTACTCTGCTTCACACACCAACAATAGAGAGCTTGTGAAGAATTTAAAGAGAGCCAAGGCCAGGTCTTAGCCAGAGGCCCACTCTGTAGCAACTTACAACTCAGTGTCCAGACACAATGTCAATTTACCCAGCCGTCTTGTTAACACTGAGCAAGACTGAATAATGTTGGACATTCTAAAAATATTTGGTCTAAAGAAAAAACCTTGACCATTAGGCCTGGAACGATGCTTCAGCAAACAGTAATGTTTACAGAAAGCATATCTCTACACACAAAATAACTCTCTCACCCGGTCCCTCAAGGAATACATGCTGCTCTTGCATTATCCTGTGTCCGTTATCTCTGTTGGCTAACTGTACATAGTGCTCCTTTAACTGGAGCCATTTTGTGGTGACACAATCTGATTTGGAGATGGAAAGCGATACCAGCTAATGCCAAAAGTGCAGTTTTACCCAGAGCTAATGTTACCAATGTTCGGTAACTCACATGATCTTGTTGCGCAGAAAATTCCTGCATCTTATTTAACGTAGCTGTTCTGTGAGTGAGGTGGAGTAGACCCTGCGGGTCGGACTTTGATGTGTTTGCTGTTAGTAGCTTGTATTGATTCAAATGGCTTCCCTAATGGCCCTGCTTTTCCCATAAATGCATTTTATGTGTGGAATGGAGGCAAGAAGGACTGGACATCTTAATTATTCCTGCTTTCTTACAGAACACCCTAGCAACCACTTTCTTTTTTTAATTGAATATCTGAGCAACATGCCAAACACTACTCAGAGCACCATAGCAACATGCATATTGCTGTCATAAACACCCCTTATGGCACCCTAGCAACAACATGGCAACCACCCAAAATGCCCTAGAAATAGCAAAGCAACGTGTTAAATATCACTCATTTTTTTACAAACATCTATTAACACCCTAGCAACCACAAAGCAGCCACCCACAATACCCTGGAAACTGCATAATCGGAATACAATGCAATTGTGTATCATTGCCCTAACCTATCACAGCTCAAAACAACACCGTAACAACCACCCAAATGCATGTCATGACCTTAGCAACCACTCTCAAAACTTTTTAGCAACAACTTCAACAATTTGAACACATTTGAAACTGCATATCACTGCCCTAGCAACTATCAACAACAACCTAGAAACTGCATACCCAGGAAACATTTGAAATTGCATATCATCGTCCAATAGCAACTATCCACAACAACCTAGCAACTGCATAATCGGAAAACATTTGAAACTGTATATCATTGCCCTAGCAACTATCAACAACAGCCTAGAAACTGCATTATCAGAACACATTTGAAACTGTATATCATAGTCCTAGCAACTATCAACAACAACCTAGCAACTGCATACTCGGGACACATTTGAAATTGCATATCATTGTCCAATAGCAACTATCCACAACAACCTAGCAACTGCATAATCGGAAAACATTTGAAACTGCATATCACTGCCCTAGCAACTATCAACAACAACATCGAAACTGCATTATCAGAACACATTTGAAACCGTATATCATAGTCCTAGCAACTATCAACAACAACCTAGCAACTGTATACTCAGGAAACATTTGAAATTGCATATCATTGCCCTATAGCAACTGTCCACAACAACCTAGCAACTGCATAATCGGAAGACATTTAAAACTGCATATCATTGCCCTAGCAACTATCAACAACAACCTAGCAACTGCATAATCGGAAGACATTTAAAACTGCATATTATTGCCCTAGCAACTATCCTCAACTACCTAGCAACTGCATAATCGGAACACATTTGAAATTGCATATCATTGCCCTCGCAACTATTCTCAACAACCTTGCAACTGCATAATCAGGACACATTTGAAACTGCATATCATTGCACCAACAACCTCCCACAACAGCATAGCACCAGCATAACAACACCCTAGCAACCACCTACAGCATCCTGGAAACTGCATAACCAGAATGCATTAGCAACTGCAAATCACTACCCTAGCACCCATCCCTATCACGTTAGCAACCACATATCAACAATCCATAACAATCTAGAAGTTTAACATATTAGAAACTCTATTTATGACTGCCATAGCAACCACTCTCAACACTGTGGAGACTGCTAAGCAACAACCCAGAAAGTAAAATCACCACAATACCCTGTGAAACTACATTAGAAACGTTCGAGGTTACAGAAGTAACCCTTCGTTCCCCGAGGAGGGGAACGGAAGTGCCATGAATGGGAGGATTCGGATCAGAAGCCGCTTATCTGGAGAGTATTGAACGGGCCAATGAATGAAATTAATTGGCAGCGTAAGCTTGCGCAGGTGTGCGACATCTGCAATTATCTCAGCATATAAGCACACCTGAAGCCAGCAGACGCCATCCTTTTAAGCTGAAGAGACTTTCAAACAGCTAAGGGACAGTCATTATGGCGACGGAATATGGCACTTCCGTTCCCCTCCTCGGGGAACGAAGGGTTACTTCTGTAACCTCGAACGTTCCCCTTCGGTTGGGGAACTTCAGTGCCATGAATGGGAGAATATGGAAAGCGCCATAATGACTGCACCTTACCAACACCCCCGATGAGGAGATAGTCAAGCAAGCGTGACGCACCCACATCATGGGGGGCGCGGTCCTCCAACGTGTCCCTGGCCCTAATTTATCCTACTTCAACAGAAGTTTTACGGATTTAGATATATTTTTTGGGAAGTCGTGAGCATCTAGATAATTCTAGGAATACGACAGTACGTTGGGAAGCGTGCAATCCCGATAGGGAGGACGCTGCGGAGGCCATCCGTTACCCAAGGGGGGGATAGATGGCAGAATTTACCTATGGACTAGCCCTAAAAAGGGGGAGTACGCATAGCAAAAGAGTGGTTAGCGGAGAGGGAAGACACGGGTCCACCCAGGGGGGGGACTTAACCGTGGCGGAATAAGCATATGGGATCGCCTAGTGGGGATCACGCATAGCAGGCACCTATACCCAAAACGCGGGCTGACCAGCGGGCAGACCTACAACGTAGTGGGCCAGCAAGTGACTCCTCCGCTGAGTCAGTGCTGGGGGCCACGGAGGAATCTGCAGGGCTCACCTGACGGGGAACTTTACTGACAGATAAAAAAGGCGCACGTACCTCCGTGTTAGGGAGAATGGCGCCGCAAGCGTGTTTCAACACCCTACCGAGTTGTCTCCTCAATCACCAAAGGGTTACCTAATACCCTTGAGGAAACCGGCTCCACTCGCAGATTGTAAAACCTTGCAAATGTGTTGGGTGTCGCCCAGCCCGCAGCTCTACAGATGTCTGTTAGAGAGGCGCCGCGTGCACGCGCCCAAGAGGATGCAACGCTCCGAGTGGAGTGTGCACGAACTCCCGGGGGACACGGCTGACCTCGACTCGAATAAGCGAGTGAAATGGCATCCACAATCCAGTGGGATAATCTTTGTTTTGATACGGCACTTCCCTGCTGCCGACCGCCATAACAGACAAAGAGCTGCTCAGATGATCTAAAATTCTGAGTACGGTCCACATAAATGCGCAGAG